CGTACACAAAAAAAACTTGACCACTTTTTAGCCGTTTAAATAATCAACCCTTATGGTTAGAATCAAAAGGTTCGTAAATACTGAATTCGTGAATCCATTAATTAAGTTGATTCTATCAAAAATTACTGAACACTTAAATCCAGTAATTAGGTGCTTGTATGATATAAATATGAACTAAATCTAAAAAACGAATACAAAAGAAAAGAGAACCAATGTCGAATATGGTTTCGCATAAATTAAATTGTGCCTCTCATTTAAAAATTAATATCTGATTTACAGCAACTATAACAGCTAAAATAACTTTGCCCATAAATGCTCGACAAAGAACTTGTTACATATTGTAAGTGTTCATTTTCTTGCAGACGAAATTTGACGTTTATGCTCTCATGTGCAACAAAAGCGTGTGAAGTGTTTTGGGCATTTCATTGACAAAATTATTATTTACAACAAAATATATTGTATAACAAAATTACTAATGCTATATACTACATAAAAACCATGATAATATAATATAACATTTAACACCTCCCATCTCGGTAATCCCGGTAGACAATGGGGACATATCTCTAAAAATTGTCCGCCCTTGGAGAAATGCTCACGGAGTCCCCAATGATAGTATTCAAATTTCACCACCTAGCCATATTAAAGTGCATATAGCTATACAGCGAATTAGGGACAAACAGCGCAGGCACAGATGGCCTACCGGTGACCGGCGGTGATATGATGATAGGATGCATGCATCAATTTATCAGCCCTGCATTAAAAAAAGGTGACCCGGCGATTTGTGTCAGCTATCGCAGGATCAACCTAATACCTGTCGCGTACAAGGACCTGTCAACTCTGTCAACTGTACTTTGTGAAAGGTTGAAGCCACATGCCGACACAATGATTGAGCTTGCTCCACCGTTGATCAGATATATACACTGTGACAAGTCCTGGAAAAAGCTTACGAACATAATATCGATACTCACCACGTTTTTGTCTTTTTAATACAATTATAAAGATTGAACCAATAAAACCGTCAAACTCAATTCCTCAATATAAAAAATATCAATCCTTTCGCAACACAAAAAATTTCTTTGAAATTCTCCAAGATGTGTTAAATGCACCGGCAAACATTTCACTTCTGAGTGCCAAAACAAAGTATCCGATAAGCCTAAATTCTGCAATTGTGGGAACCGTACCTAGTGAACTACAAAAAATGAAATTGAAAAACAAAACTGATAACAAAAGGCTGATGAAAATAATCAAGTTGCTATAACAAAAAATAAATCCAAAATTTACTTACGCCCAAACAGTGAAGGGACCAATTTAAAGTATTGACACACATAGCAACAACGTGTTGTCAATTATCTTAACAAATCTTAATCTACAAGAGGAGGCATTTAAAATCCTCGAAAAACCTCTGAGCGCGCTAGAGCACAATATGCAATTTTTAGATTATGACTAATCATTTGAAACTGTTATTATGGAATGCGAATGACTTAACAAACCATAAAAATGAACTCGAAGTCTTATTAAATAGTGAAAACACTGACATCTGTCTAATTGTTGAAACTCATTTCACGAAGCAATCGCATATAACGATTAAAAATTGTACTCTATACCATAGTCATAATTAGAAACTCTATAAAACATCACTTGCTAAAAAAATTTAGCACAAATGTATTTCAAGCTATTTCTGTTTCCGTGGAAACCTTTAATCGGCCGCTAGTCTTAACTGCTTTATATAGTCGTTCCAGCATCAGTTGAAGTGCGCAGACTACTTATCTCTTTTTAACCGGTTTCAAGGTCATTTCATAATTGAAGGAGAGTTCAACCCAAAAAATATGTTTTGGGGCTCAAGACTTACTACAACGAAAGGAAGAGAAATGTACAAAGCCATGCAACTCGCAGCTTGCAATTCAATTTCAACTGGTAAACCAACGTACTGGCCGTCGGATACTAGCAAAGTTCTAGACTTTATCGACTTCTTTGTCTACAAAAACATTTCAGCATCTCACCTAACCAGCGCAGAAAACTTCGACTTTAGCTCGGATTATTCACCAGTGCTGCTGATAGTTTCACAAAATCCAACAAAAAATCAGAACACATCCAAGTTAGTAAATATATTTACCGACTGGAAATATTTTCAGCTGCAGCTTAAACATATGCGCAAGATTGATGGTAACAAAAAAAGTAACACTGAAAAGCAAAACATAGAGAAAAATACACCAATATTGCCTGTAAGCTACGCTATGACTGTCAAACGTTTGCAGGGAATTGAAGCTAAAATGAGAAATAATGTCAAATTCGCAGAACGATATAAGACAATATTAACAAATACATCGCCAAAGGTTACGCCAGGAAAGTCACACAAGATGAAATTGGAGATATCACAAAGCCGTTGTGGTGTCTGCCGCATTTTTCTGTGCAGAACCCGCATAAGCCCGACAAATTGAGAATTGTTTTCGATGCCGCCGCCACTATTGATATACAATTTTTCAACTCAGCTTTATTGAAGGGACCAGAAAAGGTTAAGCCATTAATAGGAATACTTTTCAAACTACGTCAAAATTGTATTGCTGTTGCTGCAGATATAAAAGAAAGGTTTTCTGAGGTTAAAATACGACAAGCCGACCAGAATGTCATAAAGATTCTTATGGAGAAGCGGTTGCGAAATGACACCGATCAAACAATATGTCATGACGTCAGCCTTGTTGCGCTGAATTTGTTAAGAAACATAATGCCAAAAGTTATAGCAGTCAATATCCGAAAGCGGTAGACATTTCCGTTGTCAGTTTCGATATAGAAGAGCACGCTCTACAAATTTGTCTGCAAGTGGTGCAAAGTAATGCAAAACATTGGCTTTGAACTTCGTAATTTTTCATCAAATTCGTTAAATATACAGATCGTCATGAATGTGGGTGAAAGTGCAGAGGTCATCTGTTTAAATTGACAAATGATTGATAGCATAAACATCAATATGCAGTCGATGTAGTTTTTGTCTGTGGTAAGACTCTCACAGAAACTCCTATTTATTCCAAGGTTGGAACTGCAGGCTGCAGTCTTGGCTACTCGATTATCAACGCTGGTGGTGGACAGACATAAAATAAACATAAGCCGTATAGTAAACCGTATGGACTGATTCTAAAACAGTTCTTTGTTGGATAAATGCAAGAAATCGTCGATTTAAATCATTTGTTGTGCATCGTATAGCTGAGAGATTGACCTATACGAAAGAAGACTAATGGAGATGGGTGTCAACTAAAATGAACCCTTTTGACGCTGCAACAAGGGCCAAAGAGGTGGCTAAAATAAACAATGACAACATTTGGTTGAAAGGGCCAACCTTTTTATGTCAAGAACAAAATAGCTGGCCAATTGCTACATTTTCGTTTCATACTGACACGCCAGAAGAAGAGATTACGACACCGATACTACTACAATATCAGGCCAGTGAAACCTTGATAGAATTTAACTGTTTCAGTTTCCTTTTTAGACTTAAACGTTATGTTGCTTAATTCCTTAGAGCTGTTCAAATATTCCGTAGAAAACGGGATCCATTATTTATAGAAGAGTGTGATAATTTGCAGTCGTTGCCACCGTTATTACTTAGTGAAATCAATGAAGCCGAAAAATTTATAATGCAACTGGTACAGGAGGATTGTTTTTTGGAGGAAAAGAGTCTATTCAAGCTTCAACAACCTCTTTCCAAAAAATGCAAGCTATACAAATTAACGCCATACGTCGACAACGAAGAAATTATTCGTGGTCGCCTAGACGAAGCTATATATCTGCCTCTTGAAGTTCGAGGTTCTATTATATTGCCGAACGTGATTGCCGACGTGATGCCGACGTGATTGCCGACGTGATGCGTCATCTCCAAACTAATAATGAAACACTATCGTGTTGTCTACAAATATAAAAATTAAACTACAATTATCAACGCCGTACGCCAAAAGTTCTGGATAATTGGTGCCAAGTCACTTTTAAAATCAATCCAGCGCAATTGTATGGTATGCCGCCTTGAAGCTGCTAAGCTAGTGTCACCGTTAATGGGTCAACTTCCTTTCTAAATTTAAAAATAAATTCATTCCTCACCCGACGTTTCGTTGGTTATTTTCCAACATCTTCAGGGGTATCTAAAATATTTTTTATTTAATAATTATGATTTTTATTTTTAATTTTTATAACACAATGTGAAAATATATATATAATATAATTTGTGATATTGTATAAACAGAGAGACATGTACACAAAATAACTAACAACAACAATAATAACCAAACAATTAAAAGTAATAATTATCCATTCAGGATTTTAGAATTATTAAATAATAATAATTACCAATAGTTAGAATTGAAATTAAGTTAAATCACTTTTTGTAAATAAAAAATTATAAGTTAGGAGTAAATATTAAAAGTTTTATAAAAGTTACCGCCACTTTCCGATTTGTTTATATTAGAGCAGCAATGTAATTAGAGCTTATATTCTCCGTATCTTCTTTGATGTTCATAATTAAGTTAATTTTCTCTTGAATTCTTAAGCTTTCGAGAGTGTACCGTTTTTTCCAAGATTTCTCTTTGTCCAATATTACTACATTGTCGAAATCCGGTTTATGTTGTCTCTCGGTGCAATGCTGAGATAGAGCTGTATTGTTTTTGTTCTTGTTGATGTCCGACATGTGCTCAGCTATTCTGGTGTTGAGTGATCTCTTTGTTGTACCAATATAAATCTCTTTGCAACTCCCTTCTTTATTTCCGTTGCAATTTATTTGATATACCACATTATTTTGTTGCAGCTTATTAATTTTGTTTTTGTTGTTAGAGAAAATTTTATGGATAGTTAGATTGGGTTTATAAGCACAAAAAATGTTGTCTTGTTTAAGATTTGTGGTCAAATTTCTATTATTAGATAATTTCGGTACATAGGGTAACGAAAAATATTGTTTTGGAATTTGGTTATTGCTATTTTGAATATTTTTATTGTAACTTATGTTCTGTTGTTTGATTAAATTGTTAATTAGTCTGTATGGATAATTATTATTCAATAGAGTCTTGTAAATTTTGTCAATATTTTGTTGTTTAAACATTTGGTCACTACTATCTAATACCTTTTTGATGAAATTCTTCACAGTACCTAGTTTTTGGCTCATAGGTTGTGAAGAGTGAAAATTGATAAGTCGTCCTGAAGATATATCTTTACTGTACCAATTGAAAATTAAATTATTATCTCGTTTAATAATTTCAATGTCGAGATATGGAAGTTTATGGTCCAGTTCCTCTTCATATGTAAACTTGATTTTTGGGTGAAAATTATTTAATGTTGTCAGAATAATTTCCTTGTCAAATTTTTTGATAACCGCAAATATGTCATCAACATATTTGGTAATAAATTTAAAAGTTATGCCCATAGTCTTGAGTTCAGCTATGGCTTCGTCAAGTAGCTTATCAAGTACTATGTCCGCGATAGTAGGAGATAATGGATTTCCCATAGGCATACCAAACACCTGTTGGTATATCTGATCGTCAAAAATGAGGTAATTATTGTCTTTAAGACAAAAGTCAAGAATTCTCGAAAATTTGGCCTTGGAGATGTTAGTTGTATTTTTAATAATATCCCATTTTTCTAAGATGATTTTAGTAGCCAGGTTTGTAGGTATATTTGTAAACAATGAAATTACGTCAAATGAAATTAATATTTCGTTGTCTTCCAATTTAATGTGTTTTAATTTCTCAAGTAATTCACTGGAATTTTTTATATTGTAATCTGACGATATAAGTGGTTTTAGAATTTCTTTTCCAACATATTTTGACAGTTTATAACAAGGAACCATTGTGGAGTCCGCTATTGGTCTGAGGGGTACATTAGACTTATGAATTTTGGGTAATCCATATAGTCTAGGAGCGTTAGCTGTACTGCATAGCAGTTGTTTTTTTTGCTGTATTGTTATTAGTTTCTGTTTGTAAAGATCTGTTATTATGTTGTTATTAGTAGTTATCAATTTATTAGTTGGATCTGTGCGTAATGTTTTATACGTGTTTCTGTCATCTAGTAATGATGTCATTTTATGCAAATAATCACGTTTGTACATCACTACTGTTTTTTGACCTTTATCCGATTCCATAATGAGAATATCATTTTTGTGTTTGTTAACTATTTTTTGAGTGTTATCATATGCTTTTAGAATGAATTTTTCTCTATTGTTATTTTTATGTTGATGATTAAAATTTATTAAATTATTAGCTGTTTTGGTTCTAGTGAGTTCCTTCAATTTTTCATTTTTCATGTTTTGAATGCCTTGTTCTACGTCTGCTATGAAATGTAGTTTTGAGAAATTATTTTTATTCACAGGTAGAGCAAATTTTTTTCCCAAAGATAATAACCAACGACTTTCTTTAGGAAAAATTACATCGGTATAGTTAATAAACCAATCTTCATTCAATGTGAAACCAAAGGACAATGGCAACAAACACGATCACCAACTGATAAAACGAAATTAAATAGGAAAACTGCACAACTACGAAAACTTATCAATAATGTTAAAAACGATAAGATACAACAGAATCTTAAAAGCCCTTCCTATGAGAAACGCACAGATTACTCACTGTGGAAAGCCGTGAAAGCAGTAAAACAACCTATAAAACATAATCCTCCTATTAAAGTAGATGGTACAACATGGCCCAAAAGTGATGAAGAAAAAGCAAATTAATTCGTAAAATTTCTTAAAGCAACATTCCCACTAAATGATGTTGGAAATAATCTTCCTACTTCTAACTTAAATGCATTAAACGAAGCAATACAACCAACTTCGCAAGGAAAATAAGAAATGAAATAAGAAACATGAAACTAAAAAAGGCTCCTGGTTGGGATCAGATAGCCGCTGAGATCTTAAACCAATTTCCTAACAAAGGAATAATCAAACTATGCAAAATAATTAATGCAGCTCTGCGCTTAAGACACTTCCCAATTTATTGGAAAATAGCGGAAATACTTATGGTACACAAACAAGGAAAACCTGCTCATGATCGTATCGTCCAATTTATTCGGAATTCTCCTTAATAGAATGCAGAATGTTCTAACAGAAAATCAAATCGTTCTGAGTCATCAGTTTGGGTTCCGAAAAAAACATTCTACTGTAGAACAAATACACAGAATATGCGACAAAATTGAAAGAGCACTTGAAGAACAAAAAATTTGCACTGCAGTATTCCTAGACGTATTGTTGGCAACACTCGCCTTGAGGATGGGTACATTACCATTAAGTGTAAGAACCAACAATCAAAGGCAAAGGCAGCACGGTAACTAAGTTGGAAGGCCTTTTGCCTGAAGCTAAACTGACGGCTGATACGCTAACAGCGTTGCGCAACAAAAGGAGAATACTTATTTTTGTCTACGACTCTAGGCGGGCGGTGGGTGGTCCCATACCAGAAAACCATAAAGGTTGAACAACTGAATATTCATCACAGTAAAGCAGTATCACCAATGATCCTACGACACTTTGACGAAGAAAAGTTGGACATACTATTGATTCAAGAGCCCTGGATTGTTCAAAACGCTGTCTAAGGACTCGGTACATCAGTTGCCACGCTGTTCTTTCCACAGACAGCTGGAAAAATAAGGACATGCATTATGGTGAGAAAGGGGATACAATGCTACCAATTGCAGCATCTATGCTCACCAGATCTTACTACGGTAAGAGTAGGGAGTGATGCAAAAACCTTTATCGTGGCGTCAGCCTATCTCCCATATGACTCTGCTGAGCCGCCTCCCGGTCAGGAGGTAATCAGACTGATGGAGTATTGTAGGATGAAAAAGCTAGAAATTGTCATAGGATGCGATGCGAACGCACACAACATTGTGTGGGGTAGCAGCGATAGTAACAACAGAGGGGAATCTCTCCTCGAATGTGTTGAAAAATACAATCTGATGATTGTAAACAGGGGGTTACAACCTACGTTCGTTGACGCACGTAGGTCAAAAGTTATTGACTTAACCCTGTGCTCAGGCGCAATGATGCAGAAAATTGAGAAATGGAGGGTCGCTGACAGGCTAACAATGTCGGATCATCGGGCTATACATTTTGAAATACTCTGTCATTCAAAACACACTAATAGTCAGAGGCTAGTAAGAATTCCTGAGAATACGGACTTGACGTTGCTGAAGGAATTATTACAAAACAGGCCGATGAGGAAACTTAAGACTAAATGGAATGTTGAGACAGAAGTCAAAGCAATTACTGATGCGATGATTAATGCATTTGAAAATGCTTGTCCCCAAACCAACATTGCAGAAAAGTCTTCGACACCCTGGTGGAGTTAGGACTTTGATGTAATAAAAAAGGAGACAAGAAAAGCCTTTAATAAATACATGAGGGAGAAGAACTCAGTATCATGGGATCTATACAAGGCCAAAGAGCGTAAACTTAAGAAAGCACTACGCAACCGGAAACGGAAGTCGTGGCGGAATTTCTATTCGAGCATGAAGGGGATCTCTGAAGTCGGTTACAAAATATGGTCACCAAAGATCCGGTCTCAAGACTTGGTTTAATCCGAAAGAAGGATGGTACAATGACGGTGACCGTTGAAGAGTCATTGAGTACTCTCATGGAGATCCATTTTCCAGGAAGTTTCAAATTTGATGATCACTGGCCTTTTCGTAAAAGGGGAATGAACAGAGAGGAAAGCAGAAAGGATAGTGACCATAAATGCAGTTAGGAATGCCATCTTGACATTCGCTCCATTTAAGTCACCATGGTTAGATTGCATATTTCCAGCACTCCTGTGATAGGGAATTAATCTGCTCGCAGTTAGGCTCACGGAGATATTTAGGACGTCGCTGGCAACAAGGTACGACCCTAAGGATTGGAGAGAGTCAAAGGTGACCTTTCTTTCAAAGCCAGAAAAGAAGGACTACACACAAACACAGTCATTCAGGCCAGTTAGCCTTACCTCTTTCATGCTTAAAGCTATGGAAAAGGTAATAGTGGACTATCTGGAAGGCACCACACTAATGAAACATCCTTTAAATATATGCCAACATGCCTATAGGGAGGGGAAATCTCTAACTACCACTAAGTTACAACATGACATCAGCCTATGTGAATAAGTGGATAACCTCACTTCATTTTAATAGATGGAGAGAGTTGAGCACTAGTAAACAGACCAAACTCATGTTGCCGAAACCGTGGGCCAGGAAAGCGATAAAAGTGCTTAGCTATTCACGGAGCACTCTAAGCTGGCTGACCTCACTAATTACTGGACCATGATAACTTCAAGTATCACCTCAAAAAGATAACTCTTGCTGAGGAAGATACTTGCAGACTATGTCTACAAGAAAAGGAAACAGCGGTGCATATATTGTGCCAATGCCCAGCACTGGCAAGTAGAAGGAAGACTGTCTTGGGACACTATTGGGTTGGTGATGACTTGGCAGGAAACCTTAAGCTAAATGAGCGGCTTGCATTAACAAAAGATGTAGTTATGCGAACGGAAGCCACCCTAGCTTTAACTCAATAACAACATCCGAGAATCGAAGGCCGAAAAAGGACCCAAGTATTTTCGTGGTCTACTTCGACTAATCCTTCACTTCAGTGGGACCACTTGTTGGACAGTGCGCTCTCCCAACGTCCCACCATATATACTGTTTTCCTAGACGTATCGAAAGCCTTTGATAAGGTTTGACACTTGTGCATAAGATTAAACAGTGGTTTTTGAAACAGACATCCGAAATTATGTGGTCCTACTTATCTTACCGATTCTTCATAGTGAAATATGAAGGTGCGTCCTCAACACTTGAACCAATTGAAGCCGGAGTATCTCAGGGAAGTATACTTGGCCCAATTCTATAATTAATTTACACACCTGACTTTCAAGTCCCACCAGAAAGTGTCATTGCCACGTTTGCAGATGATACAGCGATTCTTACCACTGGAAAGACCATAAACGAATCAACAGAAGCAACGCAACATTCCATTGATCAAATTATGAGTTGGACTAAAAAATGGAAAATTAAACTCAACCAAGCAAAATCCATCCATGTAAATTTTACAAACAAAAAAATCAACTATTTGCTGATAACTATGTGCAGTGATCGAATACCATACTCAAACACAGCTAAATACCTTGGCATGAACTTAGATGCAAAGTTGAAATGGAAAGACCATATAAAGAAAAAATGAGTTGAACTAGAACCCACATACAAAAATTTATATTGGCTTCTTGAGAAAAAATCAACCGTCTCTCTGAACAACAAATTAATGGTATATAAGCAAGTCTTAGCTCCGGTGTGGATGTATGGAATCTAGTTATGGGAATGTGCGCCAAATTCCTCTATTCAAATCATCCAAAACTTCCAAAACCAAGTTTTAAGAAATTTAGTCAACGCTCCGTGGTTCATTAGGAATACTGACTTCCATCGGGACTTTGTGGCTGCAGTAATTCAAAAATTCGCGGTAAAGCACCATAAATGATTACAACAGCATCGAAACGAGACAGTCAACCATCTGACTAATACATCTGGCCTGCTGAGGAGACTTAAACGAACAAAGCCTTCAGTTCTACTCCCGAATTAGTAGTCTAATAATAATTTAGATTACTACTTTATTACCACTAAGTCTTTGACAATTTAACAATTTTAAAATGTATTCTGAAATATAACAAAACTGCTTGATAGTTCTTTGTACTTGAACTAGTCGTAGTCAAATGAAACATGTATTTATATTATTGTACATATTTTGTTTCAAATAATAAAAAAAAACAGTACGTGTCGTGCATATAGACATCACCGAGATCTTATCAACAGATGCATTGTTAGCATGTTTTCGCAGTTTTATTAACCATCGTGGTATGCCAGTCAGAATGTGTAGTGACAAAGGCACCAACTTTATTGAGGCGCAAAAGGAATTAGGTGCTGTTTCAGTATTAAGCAGTTTCTTGATATTAATGGTATGCGTGAGCAAGCCATTCAGCTTGAAATTGAATGGATATTCAATTGTCCGCAGAATCCCAATGTAGGTGGTTGCTGGGAGCGCCTTATAAGAATATTCAAATGCCTATTATTCAAGTTAATCAAAGAAGAAGCACCGAAGGTGGAAACTTTAAGGGCAGCACTAATTGAAGTTGAAAACATCATTAACATTACAGATAGTCCTTTGACATACAGCTAGCAGGAGCGAATAACACTAAATCATTTCTTGTTAGGCTGTGCCAATAGTACACAAACACGCTATAACGACGTTATACCTATCGGCCTAGGTAAACAGTGGCATATTCTCCAAGATATAAACAGCCGTTTATGGAAACAGTGGACTACGGAGTTCCTCAACTTTTTGACGCCCTTAATGGTGTAAGGAGGTGGTGCCGCTTAGGATTAGGGATTTTGTGATCATTTCTGACAATCTGCTTCCAAGAGGTCAATGGCTCATGGGCCGAATTGTTGACCCGTCTTGTTGCCTTCCAAGACGGGTCAGGTTAGATCAGCCAGCGTACAGACCAAGAATGGTTTTTTAACTCATCCAGCCACCAAGTTTGCCGCTTGTCAGATTAGTGAGTCTTGCGAAGATTCACAGGAGGGCGGAATGTAACAGAAAAAGCAACACTGAGCTGAACGCAGTCCTGCGAGGCAGCTTGACAGTTGATATGAATGTCAGTACAAAGGAGAAACGGATCGAAAGCACACAAGTTTGAAACACGTTGCGCATCGATTTTAAGACAGATAATAACAAATTGATTGTATACTAATATCTATATAGTAAATAAATTGTTAATGAAATAATAGGTCGGTGTTTTACATAATTGATTACATTGATCAGATTGTTAACAGCGAGCATGACACGGTATTTCACTTCACTCACAACTGCAGTTGGCCGCGTGGAACATCAACACCAAATTTCCAAACTCTACATGATAAAAAATATCCGCCCTTCATCACAAATAAGATCACGGAGAAGCGAAAATCACGGAAACGTTGGCAAGCAACTAGATGTCCATTAATAAAGTCGCAACTAACCCGAGTAACTAAAAAATTACACACAGTCATGAAATCATACAAAAATAACACTTTTAATAGTTTTCTGTTGGGCCTCACGGCAGACAAAAATAATGCACACTCTCTGTGCATCAGTCTGCCCAAGTGCAAATCAACGAAAGTCAGTGAGCTAAAACAAATATTCAAAAGACGAACATGAAAAAGAAGTGAGTAAACAAATTCTAAAAATGAAACTCAAAAAATTTCATGGTTTTGTCTTGATACCGGTATTGTTTTGATCAGACCGGTTTCTTTTTCTTGTAAATACTTGAATCTGATATGTTTCAGCCGCCATCAGTGATAAACGCATATCCGCCAAGATCGGTGGTAGGGCTGCCACCTTTCAAACATATTGTCGAACAACATTTGGCCTCCGACTCTGCCTTGAAGTCAATATGCAGCTAGCATTTCCTCTAGACACCAGATGGAAGAGTTCAGATATCCCGCCAAATACTGAGTCGCTAGAGCCTCATTAGTGAAAACAGGGAATACCGCGAGAAGGTTGAGGTTGACGTTAACTTAAGAGGGGCTATTTGAGACGCGTCTTTAGTTTTGTTCTGGGCTTGTACCAGCAAGAAACACATTGCCACTATCCACCGCTTTCAAAATAAAGTACTACGTTACATAGTAAATGCTCCATACTACATTAGAAACAATGATCTCCATCGTAACCTTGGCATGTCAACAGTCGACGACGTGGCTAAAAGATATGCTGTTATTTAAAAACACATGTCAACGTTACAGTATCCAGTCTTCTACAGGCAGTTGTACTATCAGACGGCTAAAAAGGAAAACAGTGGCAGACCTAAACCAGCTTATTAGTACCTCTTATTTGTTATTTGTACTAGGTGCAATAACATATTAAAACGATTTTTGTCTATAATTTTTAAATCGTTAATAAAGAAAAGCAATAATAAACGATGAGAAGATGCATAACTTGTTCTGCGAAGTGGAATCATTTGTTAGTAGCAGACCCCTTACTTATCTGCCGATTGAAATGGCAAGCGAAGAATCGTTAACTCTGTTAACATTTTTTTTTTGGGATCGTTTTCCGGAAACAAGCCTCCGGGAATATTTGATACTAAAGACGACTGGTTCTGGAAGAGATGGATACAAGAGTTGCAACAATGAAAAGACGGATGAAATGGATCGAAAAAGTTAAACCAATTGAAGAAGGTAATATCGTCATTATTGTTAACTCAAATTCTCCGCGCTATACATGGCCGAAAGGAATCATGTGACGTGATTCACATGATTAGTAAAGACTACTCGTATTTTTCTTAAAAAGATGCTTGGGGTAGATTGTTAGAACTCCGCTCCTTAAAGTTTCTTTGGTCGTTGTAATTGTGCATTTTATTATTGTCAAAGTAAGTAAAATAATAAATCTTAAGTAATAATACTAAATTAATTTATTTTATAGTTTTTAAAGCATCATCACAATAATAAATAAATAAATATTTGATGCACATGTGATCGCTTTCAAATTGGTTTCTTACATTTAATATATAGCATGTCTTATGAAGGTTGTTGTAAGGCTAAACATATTCTTGAAGACTCAAAAAATTTTAGAGTCAAATCAGGATTAAAACAAGAAGTTTCCTAGTGTATTTATAATTTATTTAAATTTTTCTGGTGTACGTCGTAAATAATTCATCTTTTGCCGTTTGTAGGTGCAGGCTATCGGTAATTTAGATATGATTTATTTTAATAGGGTGTTAAAGTTATATGTATTACATTATTTAATATTTCATTATTTTTAAAACAAAAATGCGAACATTGCGAATAATTTAAATATTACAATGAAAAAATTATCAAAACTTATTACACTATATATATTTTAAATATTAAAATTATTTTAGAAATTAAAATTTTTACAGTATTCGTTTAAATTTTTTATTCTTAGTTTAGTGTTCAATGTTTAGTGTTCTTTACAAATGTTTTTGAAATATATGTTAACAACACAATTTATATTTAATTTCATACCTCGCAATGATTGTGTATTTAAAACTATCAATATTGCATGTACAAAGAAACTTACGAACGAATATGCTACAAATTAAACTTATTCTATTATTATATTTCACACTTTTTTATTGTATATAGTCTATGAGTATTTAACAAAAATGTCTAGTTTCCATTTGCAAATAGAAAACGGGTATGTACAATATATTTTAAAAATAATAATGTGCGATATATGTCTTACATTTACAACGATATATGTATATTTATAGACTTAAGCTATTATTGGTAAGTATTCTAACGTAAAGTTAGTTTTATTAAATGGCACGAAACATCTTTAGACTTAAAAAATAACGTTTTAGAATTGAATTCTTTACAGAAATCGCTATTAACTTATACAATTTGGAATGATATTACTAGCATTTCAGTTGAAACTGATCATGAACTTATTTCTAAGTCATTGCGGCTCTCAATGCGAAATGAGGTGAGCTGTCAGTTTCAAATTTTCATTTTGCATTGAAAGCAACAATCATTGCCGTGCGTGACTGCAATCATAACATGCCACAAAGTGAAATGCAGCCAATGATTCGAGTGCTGAGTACTCATTGCAATTCTCCGACACTCATAAGCAAATGTTCACCAAATTTTTTGTTGGTTTCCATACTTTTAATTTACATTGAAAACAACAAACAATGTGGTGATCGACGATTATTTGATCGTATGCATAACGCGGCCTTTGTCTAAACGACAACTGTTCTCATCACTACCGAAAAGCATACCCATGCAAAACATTGTTTTCGCACATGTTTTTCGATTTCATTTAGATTTTAGTAATATTGCAGACTTCTGGAATATTAAAATTATCTACGTGTTTTATTAATAATGTTTGACCACATTTTATTTAAATACCTTATATGAACTGCTAACGTCTGCGATATATTTGAAATTCGATTGGAATTCTCGAGCAAATTCAATTTTTTTTCGGAATAATTTCTGTTAAAAAACGAAGACTGGAAAACTTTTAAAGCATATATAGATTGTTTTTTAGTATCTTCTTATTCTGATTAAATCGTTTTTGTTGCAACTCTTAATGGTAAGACTTATGAACTGTTACTTTATTTAGACTCAATAATAACATAGATGACGTTTAATGGTTCATAGCGTATTATGAAAGATTAATTATTTACAATTTTTATTAAAAATACTCATTTCAACGTTATGACGTCTTCTCATTTTAAATTTCTTATATCTTAAATATTGTTCATTGCTTTTATTTAGACTACTAAACGCGTTTGGGATTTTTATTTTCCTAAGTAACTTAAATATAAGGTAAGTAATGGCACTTTATATAAGAATTTTCTATATATGTAGTTTATATCTAAGTTTATGTAGTAAAAATTAAACTTCATTTACTATTCCGCTTATAAGAAAGAGTCAGAAAAAAAAGCTTCTTCTTTCGAATTTACCGATCTGATGCTGAATTTAAAATAAAAAAAAATATAATAACATTGCTATAACGATATTATTTTTTTGGGGTTATGACGCATATGATAATTTTGTTGCATGACATATTCTATGAACGGAACAGGAACATCGATTTCTCCATTATTTTGCAGAAGTAAATGATCAGAAAAAATAAGACCAGCATTCGGTAATATATTATAGATACTTACAATGAATATTCATTTTAAAATAACGGTATTCATTATTACGAGCAACGAGTTTGATGACGAGTTTGGTAACCGAGTAACGCAATAACATTGCAACATGACAATGACGAAATCAATTTCGAGTAACTCGTGATTAACTTATTGCAATCAATCAAAGTGATACAAAGTTTTAAAACAATTTGATTTTGATTAATTGCAATAAACGAAACGAAATAGTTTATCTTATACTATATAATTTGATATATTCACTTTTCGTTCTATCGTGATGACTCCAAAAGTACACTTCTTTGAAAGTATACTGAAAATTGTTGGTTGAAAAGAAAGATTTTTTACGGGTTGCATGTGAAGTTTGAGATTATATAGCATGACCTATTTCAAGGATGATCTATTTACATTTCATGCAGTGGCGACTGCTCTAAGTTGCGGAAGTGTGCGGTGCACACCTTAACATAATTTGCAAAATGTCAAATAAAATATATAAATCCATCAAAAAAGTTCTTTGGTTCATCGAGAATTAAAATTATTTATTATATACATAGAAGTATATATATTTTAAAAGTTAAATTCTTAGCAAAAACAATTAAATAAAATTGTCTATGAAAGCTCAAACGATTTAGTTCTCTTAGCTGTTGTAGTTGTTAGGTGTCTATTATATTTCTGTCATTAGGTGTGCACAACAGTAGATACACGAATGTGCGTACGCTCACGCTTGTAACATGAGATTTAGAGAGATTTATATAGTGGGAAATGTATGAGAGTAATTACTCTGTTCTATTCGAATATCATCTTCGTGCATATGAATCCAACATATTGATTTGTCGAACCGGTTAGGTGTTCACTAAAGTTTGCAGCTCATATCATCGTACATTTTAATTAACTTCCGTCTCCCCCCTTTTAGCAGTACCACCCACAATTTTCTGCCGCTATGTGGTGGAGTTGCTGACCGCACATTTATACATTGTAAGAGCGTTTAATTTTGCTTGATCATTGCATAAACATGTACAGGTTTGAGTACAAAATATTTTGTTTGCAAAAGTCGCTTCGGTGTTGTGAGAGGTATATGAAAAGTTGTGTTATTATATCCATCCTAATGTAATAGGTGCTTTCGGTAGCTAGCAAGTGTGGGAAAAACAACAAGTTGCTTGCTATAGTCGGTAAATGAAATATTGGTATCACTGTTGCACATATAGGTATGTGCACATATATCATAATTATTATAAAATTAGAAATTGAAATGAATAATTAATTGGAAGTAATGTTGAGAATGCAGGATACTTTAAAATTTCCTTTTACAACCAAATTAATAATAATTTGAAATATTTATTCAACTGGTATGTTAAAAAATTTAAATAATTTTTAGGTATACTTTCTTCATGTTCTCATATAAATATTTGTATATATTTATATATCATATTTTTAAAATAATTCACTCCCCCAATTTGTGAAACATTTTAATTTTCTTTCTTTTTTAAATATTGTTTACAAACTTTGACATATGATTGGAATATTCGTTAACTGTCAATCGTTGACAGTTAACTAAAAATTTCGTAGGTACTTCCAAAAATCTTTAACAGCAGACGAATTTTTAGTCGTGGCAACCATACGATTTGAGCTGCTTATTTGTTAAGCGGTTTCAAAAAGGATGAACTAAATAAGTTGATTCATATGTTATTTTTAAGATTTGTTGTTTTTTGGCGATATGCTTAGTAAAGAAACGTCCTATTATAGAATAGCCACACACCCTTTCCGATAGGGCACGCGTCGTCACTGATTTCAGTAAGTGTTTTTACAAAGTAATAAAAATATTTTTTTTAATACATTTACTGTTATTTTACAGCTATAGTTTTACTTCTCATTTTTGTATTTAAGTAATACATTATCTAAAGAATCACTAAAAAATAACAATAAACAAACAATAACAACAACAAAGTGCCTTGGCACAAACGACATGCTAAGAGACCTTAGAATAGACCCGATCAAAAAATACATAAGGGACAGAGCCCTGAAGTTATATGTGAAAATTGACAGGCTATCCTACTTACCACTATCTAATCTTAGAGTAATCAGTCTCCGCACGGGGAGGTACGCAGATCTTAGATCAATCACTGAATAATCATGAAGCTTATGAGAGATATACAAATTAGTCAATGAGATGGATGGGACCCTGTAGTACCCCCAGCTATCGAAAAATAAAAGTGCCCAGTTGCGCTGACTCGAAAAAAAGGATCAACATAAAAAAATAAAAAAATATTTAAATATACTAGTGTCAAGAGTATGTTTTCCAAATGAAAAATATTATATACACAAGGCCTTCCTATTAATTAGGGTAATTTAAATATTTTGATACTTCATTGGAAAAGTCTACTATAATGTACAGTCTTCGATTCATTGAATTTATTAACTTCGACACATAATAGCTGGGGAGTATTTTATTCCACTCGTCTAATATTAGGGCCATGTTATGTACACGGCATGAGTACAATTGTTGTTGTTTTCAATGCAAATTTTAAACTTGAGAATGAGAGAAAAAGCAATATGCCCGTTCAAACTCCGGCATGAGAGCCTGCGTATTTGTGCCCCGGCATTAATGCAAAACAGTGTTATTTAGTAATAAATTTTAAAATTTGCGCCTTTTATGAGCAATTCTAATACGTTGTGGGGAAAAAAGGCAGTAAGCAACACAACCTTTTTTTATAAATCGCTAACAATATAATTATTACACTTTCCGATTTTAAAGAAAGGAGTAAATATTTTTAAGTACTGTTAACAATTATTATAAGATAATACAATAATAAATTTAAATTATTACAGCCTCTATTAGTTATTTCTTGCTAGTTATTTTTGGTGGCAAATTGAAAGTGGGCATATCTAAAATTCCTTTTACATTGAGGCACAACCAAGAAGTACTAAAAATACAAAATTGGCAAAACTGATGTGACACTTTTGCCGTGTCCGAGACACTCTGCATAACATGGCCCTTAGGCGTTTTCTCGAGGTACCGCAATAAACAAATCTATAACAATATTTCTCCATTTTATTTGTCATTCTAACGAACTCACTTCAGTAGGAAATTTAGGATACATATCAATAGAACATATTTGTAAACTAATTTATTTAACTCACAAATCAAAATACTCGCTAACAACACAATTCAATTTGTTTAAAATTTCTACAAAAAAGTTTTCAACACAACACCTGAGTAATAACTTGTTTCAAGTTCAAAAAAAAATGTGTCACTATGGGGGAATTATTTCCTTCTTATAAATATTGCAATAAATTTGCAAAAACTATTACATGACACTTACTAGCATTTGTATTCGACTTATTCGTGCAGTTTAATCGGGATATTTATTGCGAAAGTATATTTATTTTAAACTAATGGTACTGGCGGCATTATACTTTTGCTTAGACTTGCAGCTAAGCTGGTCAGCTGGTTGACGTATTTAGTGTAGGTGTGTTCGGCCGCTCCAAAGTGTGACAAAAAACGCTTGCTAAAAGTCACTAAGTGATGTATTGGCATCACTGTTGCAAGTTGTTAATTATTGTGTTCCAAAGAACCAAATCTTACATATGTGCACATAATGCAAGCAGACTATATTTTGTATAAAAATAAATAATTAATATAAAAAAGAAAATTAAAATAAATAATGAACTAAAAATAATGTTAACAATGAAGGAAATTTTCCAATTTCCTTTTTCAACTAAATTAGAATAATTCAAAACATTTCATTTCCATATTTTCAAATTTGTGAAACTACTTAATTTTGTTTGTATTCTCGTTCACAAACTTTTGACAGATGACTGGTATATTCACAGAAAGTTCTAATCAAGGTTCATAATAAATCTCTTATCTCTTTGGTACAATTTTTTTCTACAGTAGTTAAAGATTTTATGCACTTCCTAATCGGTTAGTTAGAGAGTAGTGTTGTTGTTTTGACTACAAATGATCGACTTTAAACAAGCGACTTGTTGTCTTTTCGATCACTTCGGAGCGGCCGAATGACTTTGTGATACTTTTAAAAATGTTTTTTAAAATTCAGTTCAATTAATGTCAGAATAATATCTATCTATTATATACTAAGCATTTATTAAATAACGTTTTTATGTTACGTGAAAGCACAAAAGTAAGTTGAAAGAATTTTATTTTACACATCGATACGATCAGTTCACTGTGCAAAGTAATTGCCCGTACGAGATGGTATTATTTTTTTTTCCAATAAATACCATAGAAGTATTGCAATTAACAAAACGTCAAATATTTTTGTTTTCTTTACATTTTGCCATTTCAACACAAACTGTTTTAATGATATAGTATTTCCATAAGCAAGTGAAAAACGAATAACAAGAAAATAAAAATAATTGGTATTACAATTTTTAGGATTTGTAATAAAATTAATCAAAGAGTGATATGGATTATGTAAGTTATATGAAACCTGGCAGTGTTGAAATTAAATGAAAAGTAATAAAGAGTCAAATGTCATTAGTTGTTATTAATGACGCAGCTTGAACGTGCTTTAACAGATTACTCATTTACTAGCTATCAAGCTTATTGCTCGTAAAGGTGAACACCTCTCATATTTTTTCAATTTTTTGTAAAATGAATATAATCAAATCAATACAAAAAGAAATCAAATTTGTTTGTTTAGGTATTGAAATTGTGGGGTTTGCTTTAATTTGATTGTCAGCAAATAAACCAAACTTCACGTCTTGACGTTACAGTGATCAGCATTTTATATTGTAAAGTAGCGCCATGGTTTTTGAAGGGATATTTTTACTACAATACTACTTGGCATTAGTCACCATCATGAGAATCAAAACTTGTCGCATTTTCTGAAGAAAATCCCGATGGTGATAAGCTGTCCGGAGGGTAATAATACCCGCTACTACTACCACAACTTGTCATATCACATGGCGGTGTTGTTCTTTCAATTATGGAACTGCAACCATGATTCATTATTTGCGGTAAGGATCCAAGTTGGTCTCTTTCCTGTACATGGTAAACAGAGTTCATGCAGCTTTGAATATTATCAACATTTTCTACGGGTGGGCTTCTTAAATTAACAGAGCTTACTATATTTGAAGCTCCAGCGCTTCTACACCAAAGTTGTCGCATTTCAGCACGTCGATTTCGCATTAACATCTTGTACTCCGAAATTCTCATTTTTTTACCATCTACAATACATGTTCGCTTCGGTCGCGGTCTATAACGGTAGTCGGGATGCTGTTCCATATGTAATTTTGAAAGACGGGATTGTTCCTCATAATATGGTTGCTTATCAGCGTTAGACATAGCTTTCCATCTAGCACCTAAAATTTTAGAAATATTTGAATTGTGCATGTCTGGACATGCTTTTAAAATTTTTCGCCGTTCATCTTTAGCCCATACCATGAAGGCATTCATTGGTCGTTTAATATGGGGCTTACTATGGTGGTTGTGTGTGTGAGTTAGAGTATTACTACTATTATCTTTCACAGTAAGACTAATTTCTTGAGGCAATTGTTTTTGCTGTTTGCATGCTAATTGCTCTTGTTGATGCTGATGCCGTAAGTTAGCATAAGTTTGTTTATGTTGTTGGTATGGAATGCAAGAAGACATGTGTTCAATGGATAAAGGTAATTCATAGTTTCTCATGAAGGTATTACTAGTATCCCGAGCTGTGCTAGAAGAGCATAAATTATGCGAAATATCAACTCTGCTATTTATGCATGTATCTTCTGTAGCTGAATGTTGATAAAATTGTTTTTGATGGTGATTTGTATGTGTTGCTGTGGACAAGGGATCATCTAAAGAATTCCATAAACGACCAGTTAAAAAGTTTGCTTTTGAATCGTTAAAAATCTCAGATTTTGATGCATTATATACTTCTTCTCTTTTAGTTGTATGTTGTGAAGAACTAGGAGTAAGTTGACGGTGTTGATGGGGTGAAATTTGTGATACAGAATAAGGAACTAACTGTGGGATGTCCTCTACTCCAACTCCTATTTCTGTAGCCGCAGACGGTGCTCTGATTATAGTGTTATCACGGAGATCTGCATTTGCTGATAGATTGCCCATTACATGTAATGCTTCAGTTGAAATATTTTGCCACTGCAGTGATAAGTTATCAATACTTTCTCGCTGCAATAAATCAGTAGAACGCAATGTAATTTTTTGATTTTCTGATAAAGATGCGTTGTCGTTAAAACAAATTCTTGGCTTAGAAAGATTAAGTGGGGTTTCTGCATCAATATTATAATCCTTTGCTTGATTAAATTGTTGTTCTAGCACAATATTAAAAACTGTTTGTATATCATGATTTCCTGAAGAAGAACCATTTGAATTCGAATGCATACTGGAGGTGACTTTTGTACCATCGACAAGTTCCGAAGTTTCAGGTGGGGTTGTATTATTTTTTATATATAGAACTGATGAGTATTGATTTTCGACATCTTTAGTATTATCATCTTCATCAATTTTTATTTGAGATTGCAATATTTCATGTGATTCTTTCGGTGAGACCGTCATTGCAATTTCGCTTACTGACAGGTTTTCTGGACTATTGGATTTACATTCACTATGGGTACAAGCTGCAGCAGCAGCTGCAGCTAAAGCAACTTGTATGTGTGCAGCTGCTATTGCCGAGGACCACATTGACTGATCTGTTAACTTTTGATAATGCTGAGATTGCTTTGCTTTTATGTCGTTCGATAAATTCAGATATTGTGAATGCGACTGCTTTAAAAAAATCGGAAAAAGTGGTAAATGACTATTTTGTGATATCATATGTTGATGTTGTGAAAACTGATGATCATCTGCAGATTTAGATATACTGACTGAGTTGAATTTAGCATCTAATTGATTTTGCATCTTTTGAACAGAATTATTAAGTACTTCTCCATTATGTGACAGTATATTATCCTCAAAGTTGTTGTTTTTTGCAAACTGAGTCTAAAATAAAAAATGAAGCACTAATGTAGTGGAAGTAATTAAAATAGAGCAAATAATTTAATGTATTAATTCTTATAATTAAACAAAAGTGTTCTTGTTTGTTTCAGTAACATGTTTTTTTCACGCTTAAAATATATAGTTTATATATAAAAAGTCGTGAGCACAATTCAAATTGTAATCTATTTGTGTGTAATATGCTATGGCATTTATTTATACCTATTTGAAAATGACAATATGTAGAACTGTTTGAGACATGTGTGAGCTTAAAATTTGTACTAAAAACTTAATTAATTTGATGCTATTATGATGAATAACTTACAAAAGCAGGCCTTTGAAACGCCTTTTTTGGTCTTTGGGAGATATTTTCAAAAAAAGATATACTTAAATTTTAGAAATTTAGGAAATAAGAACACGCATAATAAATAGATAAAGGTAATGTTTTCAACATGACACGACATATAACTTTGTTGTACTTAACAGGATGATGGTTTAGCATATCAACATTTGTATAATATATATTTATATATTATATTTCTTATACTGTAACGACCACTTTTCAGTCGTTTGTTTGCTGGGGTAGCAAAGCGGCTGTCCAGGTTTGTTGCAATAATATTTTTATGTACTGAAATAAAGTTCACTTGAAGTTTGATTATTATCTCTTTTTATTCTTCCTTTTAAAATTTCATAGATTAACATTATAAATTCAAAGTTGTTTTTTTTTTATTATTAAACTGGGATAAATAGATTTAATTAATTCTAACATAATGCTGATTCATAAATTCGAAATTTTTTTACCATCCACAATACATGTTCGCTCCGGTCGCGGTCTATAACGATAGTCGGGATGTTGTTCCATATGTAATTTTGAAAGACGGGATTGCTCCTCATAATATGATAAATTCGAAGTTAGTTCCAATAACACAGCCTTGTTACATCGAAAATAGATAAAAGAAAAACACACACGGCTTTGTCTTCTAGGATGAAATCGACGTATGGAAGTCTTGGAAGCTACGTATTTATTCCTTGCTGTGTTAGGAACAATGTAATAATGAATGATCAAATGGACCGGTAGACTCAACAAACCTGGGTTGTCCTAGTTTGATCGGATGGACCAGTTAGGCTCAACGAGCCTGTAAGCTAAATTTTGATCGAATTGACCAATAGGCTGAATGAGCCTGAGTGGGACTTGCTTATCATCTGAGTTCACAGAGACAAGTCTCCTGTTATAAGACATGCGCGTTCATATATATTCGCACGACCGAAGCTTTTCGGTGTGCTTTGTGCTATTCCTGTGCTTTTTGTGTACTTTGTTTTCGCCGCGTTTTACGTTTTGTTTATGTTTGTAAATAGAGAAATATAATTTTTATTAATACAGTGTTCATTGTTTTGTGGTTTAATATAAAAATAAAAGGAAATAAACGAAACAAAAAAAATTAACAAAAGAAGTGTTACTTGCGATATGTTTTTTTTTGTGTTGTAAAAAAACGTAAACAATGAGTGTTTTAGTTGTTGGTAGTTTATTTCTTTAAATTCACTTCAGGTTCCAAAAGCAGATGGTATCAGCCAAGCCCGCGGTTTATTAGGCTTGAGGATCACAGATATAATTGAATTCTTAACCTGTAATATGAAACAATGGCGAACAAGTATTCAAATTTATACGGACGCAGAAATAATAAAAACTTTGGACGTCAACATAAAATGTGGAATTTTTCAAGGTGACTGCCTATCCGCTCTTTGGTTCTGTATTGCACTTAATCCACTTAGTAATCCCCTGAACAACAGTAAATATGGTTACAAAATAAAAGCCGGTTATAACAAAGAAATACTGAATCACCTTTTGTATATGGATGACTGGAAAATGTACGCCTCAACGAAACAAAGCTTAGCCCAACTAATACAAATCGTATCAATGTTTAACAAGGATATCGCCATGAAATTTGGTGTATAAAAGTGCAAAAGATCATTAAGAAGTGAAGACCAACAGATTGCAAAAATTGAACAAATGGAAAAAAGAGGTGTCTATAAATACCTAGGTATGGTCCAAAATAGGCGCCCTGACAAAAAAACGGTTAAGAATAATCTAACAAGGGAATTCACATTACGGTTACACAAAATATGCGAAGCGAATTTAAATGGCAAAAACAGTATCAAAGCTATAAATACATATGCAGTTCCTGTTCTTTCATATAGTTTTGGTGTCATTAAATGGACAGTCACTGAAATACAATCGCTGCAAAGAAAAATAAGAACAATATTGACGGACTATAAATTCAATCATCCAAAATCATGTTGTGAGAGAATGGTAGCGTCAAGAAAAGATGGTGGAAGAGGGCTAATCGATCTCCAAACTCTCCATGACAATGAAATAGAGTCTCTTCGTCGGTATTTCTAGCTTAAGTTAGAAAGATCTCGACTTATAAAAATAATAACTAAAGCAGATATAAATTCAACACATCTCAACCTAAATGGAAGCTTCAACCGACAAGCTAAGGACAAAATTTCAAGGGAACAAAAGTGGTCAATAAAACCTATTCACGACCGATTCTACAGGTCCATTAACGCTGACAATGTTGATAAATTAATGTCAAACAAATGGCTATTGAATAGAAACTTATATGCTGAGACCGAAGCTTTTATGATCGCTATACAAGACCAAGTAGTCCCAACGAAAAATTACAGAAAGAATGTCATAAAAGATTCAACTATCACCAATGATACCTGTAGGAGATGCATGAGCCAAACCGAAACTATTGACCATATTATATCAGGATGCACGAATCTAGCCCAAACAGAGTACACGCGAAGACATAACAAGGTCGTGAAGATCCTCCACAAAAACCTTCTTAGTAAATATGAACTCCAAGCAGATGAACTACCCTACTACAGATATAAACCACAACCAATTATGGAGAATGAAGAAGTCAAAATATACTACGACAGAACAATATACTCAGACCATACGAGGTTCCATAACCGTCCCGATATCACGCTCCTTGACAAGATCAAACGTAAATGCTACTTCATTGATGTTGCAATCCAGCTACCAGAAACATGAGCCGTATATACACAGAGAAAATTAGCAGATATACTGAGTTAGCAGTGGAAATTAAACGAAACTGGAACGTTAAGGAAATCAAGACCATTCTAATAATAATAAACGCTGAAGGTGTAATTAACAAACATCTCTGTGCAAATATGAGCATCTTTGGACTCCCGCAAAACCTTATTGATACCATGCAGAAGTCAGTTATCATCGATACCTGTCATATCGCCAGAAGTTTCATTACCTAAATTCTTATATGCAATATATAAGGCTTCCAAAATGTATTTTTTTTACCCATTAAGGAGAAATAAATAAATGACAATAATAATAATAGTAATAATAATAAAGTGAAAGGCAATAATAGTAAAAAAAATGCGTCATCGTACGTTAGAAAATGTGCCATCTTACATTACAAATCTAATAGTAAAAATAGACTTAAAAATAATGTAAAACACATTGTCTTATATTTAATGTATGTAGATATATATTAATACTATTTATTTTAATATTTTTCTGAACTTAAAACTAATTTAAATTTGATAGATGGGCCTGTACGAACTATATTAATTGACAAATTGGCAATATATTAATTAACAAAATAATGTGAGGCTTGAACTTTTGAAATATTTTTAATATGTTCCCGGATCTCTCAAACTTTTGTTTGCCGTCTATACAATGAAGTCGAACAATTTTCGTGTGGCGATTTTTACCTTATGGCTTCTATGGTGAAGTTCAAATTTAGTAGAGCTCAAATTCCTCCAATCGCATCCATTCCACTAGAGGTGGCAAAAATATACCATTAAAAAATTCAATTTTCAATTCTTCAACTCAACTTAGAATGCTGCTTACAATATATTTATTTTTGAATTGGTTGGCACATCCGCCGGAGAATTTTAACTCTTATTCTTCTATTTTAATATTGTGTATAGTTTTGGTTAAAAACAGTATACATCAAATTTATTATGGGTAATTTTGTCGCTTACAACTGCAAGGGATTTAATTTTTCTACAAAGCCAAGCTACGCAAGTGGAAATTGTCAATTGTGTATAAAAAAAATTATCTGACTGGACAGTTCATTTTGGGTAATATGACAGTAATTTTCAGAAACATCTTCTTGTATTGTGAGCTCACAAAGGGAAGTAATTTTGTTTTTATTTTTACAATATTTTTGCAAGCAATTGGTTGAAATTAGGCAATTGCGATTCCAAGGCAAAAATGAGATGCAATACTGAGGGCTCTGTTTGCTTTAATGTGTTGGGAGTTTACAAAACGATTAGCATGTCTTTACTTCAATATAGTTTTTTAGTTATGAAGAGAAAATAAATATAACAAAAAAGAAAAAGGATTCAATAAGGTTCTTTGGTTTGTAGTTTTGCATTTTATAGTATTTGTGGCGAATTCGCCACACACAGACCCAGCGCCATCTAGTGCCAAAAACATTCCAATTGGCATGACAACAAACTTCAGCACCAAGAAGAGAAGACGAAGATAGCGTTGTGCCTTTTTAGCAGTTTGTTTCAACGACGTGCCACGTGTTAACAAACACCGTTTGTAAAGAACCAAAAACACATTTTATATAATTCATTTTTCATTACCGTGTAAATAATTAACATTTAGTTTGTAAATAATTCATTAGTAGTAAGAAATAAACATTGTGTGGCAAACTAGACACATATTTGGTGACCCCGACAACCGCTTAATAAAGACGATCGAGAATTCGGAGAAAGAGGCAGCAGATAAGTCAGTGTCCATGGACGCCACTTTAGCTACGGTAAAAACGGACATCGATGCACTTAAAATAACAAATTTACCGACAATCTTTCAAACGGATCCATAATAAATGCAACCCTGCGTGCAGAGCAAATTTGTGATGACAGCTCAAGAAATTTCAAGTAACAAATGTCAAGTCAACCAGTCGTCTACATTGTGCCGCCGTAGCAACATCAACTTTTT